TTGGGACGTTAGGCGTATCCCTGATGCAGGTGCACAGCACTTGAACCAATATTCCGACTTAAAACGTTTAATTTTATCCTCAGAGTTAAAAAATTTAGGGTCGTGCCCTAATTAATAGTAAATTTTGGTGGAATAATATGGTCGTTTATGAAGAACTTGTAAATTCCCGCTTCAAAATAATACCAATCCAATGTTTTTTCTTAGTAAAAATGCGTTTCTGACAAAAAAATTTTTCTGGATGTCAAAGCAGGCTTTCTCCTCTTTATCTTTGTGCTCCAATAACTTGTTCCCATGTCATATATAATGTCCAGTCACTTGCTTTGTGGTGAGAAAGCAGTAATTTTTGATTTTGAATCAAAGTTTTTTGGTATTCAGAGACACTCCAATATGCCTAGCCTAGCGAATTGCAATTTTTTGTGGTCTCTTGATCTTGAAGACTGAGGTCCGCCCTTTTAACGCTTGTTTAGATAACCATACAAGGGACATTTGACCGATATGATTTCTTTCTTTATAGCATAGCCTTTCTGAACGTTTTGCAAAAACTTTAAATTCTTTTTGCTTGTGTTGTGCACTTAAAGCACTCACAGCGAAAATCCCACGCGCCTTGATTACAAAATTGCAGGAAATGAGCCAGAACTCCTCTTTGAATTATAAAATTCAGCAAATACTAAGAGGGCGCAAAACTGGAACAATCCAGTTAATTTTTGTTTGGTCATTTTTTTCTGAGTTTCCATATGCGAATCTTAAAACATTTATGGTCAAACATTTAGTTAAACATTGGTAAAGCGAAATGCAAGTTTGAATTACCATAAAGTAAATAAACTGAAGAAGTACATTACCACAAACTTAACTTTCCGTTCTATTGTTCCAGTTTTGCTCTTCAGTGTATATACCCTGCAAACAAATGCTGCCGAAATCTTTAAGAATATCGGAAATTTGTTACGATTCTTTTAGGAATGATTAAAGAAAAACATATGAAGCGGTTGACAAGAACTAGTAAAGAAATTTGTGTACGAATTTCTAAAGAAAATTCTTAAAAAAAATTGTGAAACCCCTCAGAATACTGTGTAATCCTGGTATGCAGGGTATACATATACATACGAATAAGAATAGATAAAGAAGCTGTTGATGACACAGGGAGTTCATACCAACCTTAAATGTTGTTTTTGTACGATTGCTACAACCTGTTGTTATTGAATCATGGAATTAGCGCGTACAAAGAATCTCGACTTTCCTTTATACTATGTATAGATGGTACATATGATTGAAGTTAATATGGATCTGCTTCTCTACTGCTAAATCTTAATATTTTGCAAATCATTGATTATTGATTATTAAATTCATTTCAATACAATCAACACGAATATTTCATGTACCGTTTTTAACTTCAATGTGATCTTCATAATATCACGAATTCTACGTTTTAGTTTAGCCGCTGTGACACCGACACAGCCCGCAGGTCAAGACGAAGGCGCTGAACTGATCCCCTTGTCACTTACCAACACTACCCTTCCGGCCACGCATTTTTTAACCGACCTGGCTGAAGTCGGATAAATAGCCGAGCTTATGTTGTTGCTTTGCAAATCCACAACCAAATATTTCCTTCATATCCATCAAACGTAAATGGTACCGAAAGAATTTATGAGGCAAAAAAATAATGTAAAAAAAATATTTTTTAAAAACAAGCTTTTATTTAACCGTACAATCAAAGGAATAAAATGAAGTAGTGTAACAAAAGATTTTTTATCAAGAAAATTTTGTCAAAACTGCACTAAAATGAATAAAATAAAATAAGTTAAGGTCTCGTTAAAGTTACTAAAAGCCATTTAGTGAAAGGAGTTATTCAAACTCTAATGAAAATTACTAACAATTTGTACTAATTTACTTCGTTTTTAAGAAAGCTTGTCGCGCGAATAGCAAACCGGCATTTAAATATCTGCATACTTGCATGTACGGTGAATTCGCCGACAAGCTTTTTTAAAAACGAAGTAAATTAGTAAAAATTGTTAGTAATTTTCATTAGAGTTTGAATAACTCCTTTCACTAAATGGCTTTAACGAGACCTTAACTTATTTTATTTTATTAATTTTAGTGCAGTTTTGACAAAATTTTCTTGATGAAAAATCTTTTGTTACACTACTTCATTTTATTCCTTTGATTGTACGGTTAAATAAAAGCTTGTTTTTAAAAAATATATTTTTTACATTATTTTATTTTATAATTTTTAGTCCATTTATAAAATCGTTGTATATTAAAAAGTGTTATTTTGTTTTATGTAAAAAATTTTACAGTAGATATTAAAATAATTCAACTTGCAATGAAAGAGAACAGAAGACTTGGCAAGCAAAATTTTGTTTGCTTATGTTTTGTATAAACATACACATGTACATATAGCAGCAGTTAATTTTATTTAAAGAAATGGCGTGTCGTCAATTTCCGCTGTAGCATGGCATATATTTAGGCGCAATATTTAACTTCTTCTGGCGGGGCGACATCTGGAGTCTTCTAATTCCTACAACGAGGTTTATATCTAGACAAGGTTGATATCTAGAATTTGCCACAAATAGCTTTGCTACACTATCGCCGGCAGCTTTAACAATTTTATAGTGGTTTTACGTTCTTTGGCAAATTACGCTCTGTTAGCCATAAATCTTAATATTTTTTGACCGCCTTTGAATCAAGACAACTGGACCATATGGGGAATTCATTTATATGTATATTAAATTGCATTGTCATCGTGATTGGAACTATGCTGAAAATTTCAAGTCTCTAACTTGTCGGGAAGTTAGGTTAAAATCGATTGGAAATTTCCGCGATTTCCGCGGGATGACCAAGTTAAATAAAAGCTTATAAAAAAAATAAACATTAAAAAACAACAGAAAAACAGCTCAAACTGGACCTTCCATTCTCAAGTTATACGCGGTCTGACGTACACAACTTTGGTATATACATACACTACTATATATACTACATATACTTATATATATACATATATACATATACATATATACTACATATACTACTATGAAAACCTTTTTGTGGACTTCGCTTCTTTTTGAAGGTGATTGAATTCTTCTCCTTTTTGTCCTGTTTCCAAAAAACCTCGCTGTGGGTGGGAGTGTCAAATTTTAGAAAAAAGCTTCTTACAAAACTTTTAATCATGAAGCATAGGGAAGAATTACCCAATATCGAGTTACCGAGTATCAAGCTCAGTGGAAAGCCCGTATTACAGATTTGTATTCTCAGAATTCAAAACTCAGTACAAAATTTGAAAAATCAGGACATTCGCGTACTGATTGAAGAAATGAATGAAATCAGTATGAGAGTTGAAAAATCAGAGAGTTGTAAAATCAGTACGTCTGGAAACCGCGTTGAATCCCAATAACGTGGCAATTGCTCAAAAAGGGGCTCGCACCGATTTGTGAGGAGGAGGTATTAGGGAGACGTAAAATAGTAATTCTGAGTGGAAGAAAAACAATGAAAAACCACAAATGGTCTTTCATCAAGCAAATGCGAGCTCTTACACACCTCGCCAAACAAATGATTTTTGAGGCACTAAAAAGTCGAACTGATGGGTCAGCCGCCATTCGCCTAATGTGTAATGTAATGTTACAAACTACCATTATTTTCTCTAGTGTACATAAATAATAGACAGAAATAGGATATTCATTGTAAACAGAGCTGAGTAATGTTGATGCGAATAGGGATTGACGTGGATAGTGAGATAAGTCGAAAACATCAAACTTCTTTGAGACAAAATACTTATTTTTTAATCTCAAACCCGAACCGGTTTCTTTTTTGCCAAAAATTGTTGAAATATCCATTTGTGCAAAATATTCAATACCTCCGCGGAAGATTGTAGCGCCAAGATAGGCGCATGCGTCATTCAAGTAAATAATTGAGAAATGTACTTTGTGCTCACGAATCTCTGACAGCCACACATTCTGGACATGAGGGTTGAATAAATGAGAACAGCATTTCGAAGGCGGCCTTTTGGCAGCAAAGGATAAACGAAAATTTCCCTTTGTTGTACCTATTGCTCGCTTTATATTGGGCCGAGATATAAACATTTGACTGTTGGGGCATTAGAACATTGAATCTGGAGTTGTAATGTTGCAAATTAGAGGCGGAGGGGCAAAAGTAGAAAATAAAGAGAGGTTTAGAGCACATTTGTATGTGTGAGCCGCAGACATTTGGAAGACAGCGCTTATTTCGTCGCAAGAAAAGCAAACAGTAGCAAAGCAGACCGACACAAAAAGCACTTTTTGGGCAGGGCCACAAGAATGTCGAGTTTTCATTCAGTTAGAGAACTGTAAGGGCGACGAGTGTATTTCTTGTGAAAAGAGATTTTTATACATATTTCGAAAAATTAAATTAAATAATGAATTATGTAATTTGCGAAATTGTGAATCATGCTACGAATTATTATAACTAATTAAGGCGCAAATTAGTGCTTGTGAAATATAGTTTTACTTTACCAAAAAAGTGAGAGCCATTGTGTTATGAAAATACATATTTAAGTGTGTACACTGCAATTCGTAAAGTGGGCGTTAGTTTTTCTCTAACTTGCATTTTAAACTTGCGTTGAAAACTTTTTACTACTACTACTATCGAGCTAACGGTTGTAACCTTGATCTATGTATGTATGTATGTACATAAGTGCCTCACTAATTATTTGCACTTTGAGAAAAATTGCTTCGCTTTGAATGCTATTCACTTGAAATACAGGCAAACCAGGAAGCATACAGGATGTTGTGGCAAGTAGAACAGCAAAAAGGGAACACGAAAATAACAACAAAACGAAAAAAAGGAAAAACTAGATAAAACTAAACTAGGGATGCTACCGTTGTTTTTTGTTTGTTCTTTGCCTTTGTATGCCGGTGCTTCTTCTTGCCACCACCCACTTTTTACTATCTAACACCTCTTACTAGTGCGCGGGAGCCCTGCTACTACTACTACACTCTACTCTTTATACACTCATAATTCTTCAACCATTGCAGATATGAGGAACTAGATCCCCCAAAAACTGATTCGCCACCGCCAAACACACCAGCACCGCCGAACAAAAACTCTGCTACGAATTTTACTTTCAGCAGCTGTGCACCGGAGAACAACAACACAGCCAATACAATGGATAAGGGTGGAGGCAGCATCAGCAATCTGAGCACTAGTATGGGTGGCTCTACAGCATCCATTTCTGGTCAACTGCATTTTCAACCGCACCAGCCACCACCCAACAGCATGGCCGTCAGCACACCATCCAGCGAACAACACGAGGCGATAGCCTTAAAGAAGGCGTTGGAGTGGGAACTTAGCTTGGATGCAAAGGATTTACGTTCGCACGCGTGGTATCACGGTCCGTTGTCACGACAACGCGCCGAGGAGATTGTGCAGAAGGAAGGGGAATTTTTGATAAGAGATTGCGGCTCGCAGCCAGATAATTATGTGCTCAGCTGTCGCACCAAAACACAAGTGCTGCATTTCGTTATAAATAAGGTGAGTTTGTCGAGCTGAGATGCTAACCCAATTTACCAAACGACTTCGTAACGACGTCGTTTAATACTCGTTCTGATTAGCAATTTGTTCGCCGGCGAAGACGCCGTCGGATAACAAGCACAGCAGAAACGATGCTCAAAATATTTAACAAAAACCATTCAAATCGAATTTCAAATTGTGTGCAATATTAAAAAAAAAAAAAACAAATCAGCAACCATTCCTAAAAACTTAAAAATTTTCAATCTGAATTAAAAGAAAAAATATAAAGCAGTTTTAGGGGATCCGTACGATAAGTCGAAAATAACCGAAACGGAAATGTCGAAATCGTATCCTTTCGAAATGAAAAACGTCGAAAAAAATGAAAAACGTCGGAAATGTCGAAAATAAAGTCGAAAACGTTGAATGTTTGCAAAAATAAAAATTAAAAGTGTTCTGAGTAGCTTTTCAAAATTTCTAGAGTTCCTAAGAAGGAAAAAGAAAGTTCTACAAAATCACGCCGAAAAAACTTTTTTTCGAAAAAGTGGAAAAGATTAAATTTTTGAAAAAAAAGTATTTATGTGTTTGTTTCTTAACCTCTACAAAATGTGTCATTTCGAATATTGTAAGTTCCCTTACATTTTAAGTTCTTTTAAGTATGTTAGTTTCTTCAATACCAATCAAATTATTGAATACTAGCTTTTGCCCACAAAAAAAGCCTGTTTGTTCGATAAAAAATCCGGTTTATTCGATAATCGAAAAATCAAGATTTCAAAAAAACCTCTATAGATTTCAAAAAAAAAACCAGTGGAAACCACTTTGAAAAACCGAGTCAATTACCCTTCTGCCTATACTTTTTTTCATGTCAAAATCCCATTGGTATATTTCATTTAGCTTGAACAGAATAAATAGATAAACATTTCTGCTTGAATTTAAACTTTTTCTTAGATTGTATTTTAATATAGCATTCTAGGTAGAATTCTACCCATAGCTCGACGAACGGTTAACTTGTTTTTGAAAAAGAGGCAACCCTACTCAAAAATATTTTGGAAATAAAGCTTTCTTAAACTTCACTCGTTGGACACAAATATAATATTTTATTCAACGTGTTATTTAAATTTATTTTAACTTTTTGAAAAGATGGCAACCCTTTAAAATATTTCTACAATAAAGCATTTTGTCTATCTCGTTTGATACCCACATTAAAATATTTCGTTTCAACTTTTTAATAGAATTGATTTTTACTTTTTAAACAGACAGCAACCGTCTTAAAGTATATTTAGTTATCAATTAATTGACTTTTACTTTTTTAATAGTTGGCAACCCTCTTAAAAAATACTTTCGAAATATATAGTTTCTGAACCGCTTTCGTTTGACACCCACATTGCTGTAATATTTTGTTTAACTTGTTAATTAATCGATTTTAACTTTTGAAAGAAGTGGCAACTCTCTTCAAAAAATATTTGATATGTTAAGCCAGGATGTAAACTATCTGTATTCCAAATTTAATTGAAATACATGAAGACGTTTTAGCGTGAAGGAGCAACAAACATACTCGCTCACAAACTTTCACATTTATAATATTAGTACATAATATTAGTGGAATTTAACTTAAATAAATCAACCTGTTGAAATAATGTAATGCATGATGTGCAAAATTCTCGCGATATATTTTTTTCAACATTTTTATTTTTCGACATTTTTCTTTCGACAATTTTTTTCTCGGCATTCTTGATTTTCTAACTATTTTCTTCGACATTTTTTTTAGTGTTTTTAGTTTCGACATATCGTTCTAGACCCCAGTTTTATAGCTCATTCAAACGAAGTCAGAACGACGTTGCGTTTTGTATGAAAAAAGGACTTCGTTTTGACGTTGTTTCGAGTTCACCCAAACGACTTCACCAGACCGATGTTGTAACGACTTCGATTCGATGAGGAAAAACGACGTCGGAACAACGTTGCGGTTTTTGTGGAAAAAACGACTTCGTTTTGACGTCGCTTCGAGTTCACCTGAACGACTTCACCAGACCGACGTCGTAACGACTTTGATTCGATGAGGAAAAACGACGTTGGAACGATGTTGCGGTTTGTATGGAAAAAATGACTTCGTTTCGGCGTCCTTTCGGGTTCACCCAAATGACTTCACCAGACCGAGGTCGTAACGATATCGATTCGAGCTCGCCCTCGCTCTGTGGCAAATTGGGAAGCTACATATATGGAATGCAAAAAGACGTAACAAACATCGTCGCTGAAATTCAAAAAGACGTAATTAATAAAGAAATCAAAATTCAGTTTTTGATTGAAATGTCCATCATATTTCATCGAATTACAACTCCCACATCATTTGATGAAAAAAAAGTTATTAGTCGCGACTTTTTACATTTCAGTTACGATGTTGTTACGTCTTTTTGCATTTCAGGTGACGATATATATGTATGAATTTATGTACATACATATTGTAAATGTATGTATGTACCTTTTTTGTATCTATGATTAATTTAAATTAATAACGATGAATTATTATAATGCCTTACCTTATACGTTTTGAGAATGCTTATTCTACTGCGTCAGAATGTCTTAAGGGACACATCTTGCGTGAAGCCCATATTGTATATGTCGAATCCCTTGATCCTTTTTGTGAACCTTAAATGTTTTTGTCAATGTTTATTGTGGCGTATTAATATTTATTTCAATAGTATTTCTGAGCTTTGTACCACGATTTGTGTGTTACGAAAAATGGAAAAACAACAAGATAGCAGTTATAGCAGCTATTCCGGAGAGCACCACATTTCCTCATCAGACTTATTTTTTTAAACAAGAGTACGTGGTGTACATAGCCCAGTGGTTAACGCTTCTGACTTTGCAAATGGTTGATGCGGGCTCGATTCAAAGCAGTAAAGCATCTGCAGTCACCGTCCAGAGAGAGAGTGTCTCGATCTCTCCATTGTTCCTTTGTAAGAAATCTAACAACGAACTTTCTTCCAAAGGAGACTTCAGGGATCAGTTTGTCATTAGGTGGAAAAAACTAAGGATATTGATCTGACAACCTTCTGAACAACTCACTGTGCAGATAACTCCGAAGGACGTGCCATAGACGCCTATACACACGCTCCTTTGTAGCCTGTTTAACACAGAACTCGTGGTTTTGACCATGGTTCTGCACCACCATACTACAGTAGATTACATTACGATTGGCCTGATTAAAGCTATGTACTTGTATATCCAGAATACCATAGCCGGTATCAGACGTCAGGTCTTCGGCAATGTCCGAAAACTTTCAGCGCTCGATTTACCTTCAGCTCGAGGTGAGTTTTCCATGTCAGGTTCGTATCTATAGCTACCCCCAGATATTTCACATCCACGAACTTAGGTTTACGGCTCCAAGCACTGTTACCTTCCAGTTTCCTTTTCCACGTAAACAAGACTAGGGTTGTTTTACTGGAATTGACAGAAAGAGCCTGCAAAGTGCACTATTCATAAATATTATTCAGAATTCTCTGTGTCGTAACACAAACCTCTCTGAAAAATTTACCTGATGACAGTGTACAAACATCATCGGCGTAAACTTGTATTTGAACGAAGTCTTGCATTTTCGTTCGTTGGGAGTCCACTAACAAACACCACATGGTACAAAGCCTAGCTTCATCGCCCACGGGAAAGCTTTTTTGTTTGGGAATAAAGACTTTTCTCCAAAGGGTGGGAACTCGGCCAAATGACAGATAGGCCCCAAAAACTCTTATTAGAGCCCCTAAAAGCCTGTCTCCCCCACACTTTGGCATTTACAGATACCCTCCGCCTGGGCCCGGTGACTAAAAGTCGTCAAACGAGGGTAAAGAAAGCCTTACCGACTCCTCAGTCACCATCCGTGATGCTATGTACAAGTTTAGTCTGGCGGCTCTTCCCGTCGCGCTGTCCTCCACCATATCCCTGCCTGCTTCAGGAATTATACTGCTACCCAGAAAATGATTCTCCAACAGATTATTGTATGGGTCCTAGCAGCGACGTGGTATATGGTCCATCGAATTTTCTGAGAGAATCAAGCCTAACCGTCAGGTCCTGTTGAAGTATCTTACACAGCCTGGCAGACAGTTTCATGTTGTCGATATCATTGTAGAAGTTTTTATAAGAGCTTAGTTTTGACATGCGAATTTGGCTCCTATATTCCTTCTTCAAGTCATGATATGCGGACCAGCCTTCTCCTTTTCCGGTTTTTAAACTAATATTCAGAAGTCTCCTGAATCATTTCGAAGTTTGGTAAATTCATCGTTCCACCATGGGACCGCTATTTATTGCCTGTTTTTTTATTGGACATACTTCTTCAAAACAACCAATCAAAGTACTAGCTACCTCGCGGGTCGCATCTTCAATTTATTTAATGTTTTTGAGTTTAGGGAGATTTGGTATTCTCGTTTCAAGGAGCAACCCAAACTTCTTGGCATTTGACAAGTGTGAGCTCCTAGCCGAAATTCGATGAATCGATGATCAGGTAGAGATTCCTCTTCCAAGACCATCCATCCTTTGATATGACCCGCCATGACTTCATTAACTTAATTAAGGTTAGATCTATCACTTCTTGTCTTCTGCTGGTGTCAAAAGTAGGTTTGTTACCTACATTATGTATAACCATTTCAGAGGATAGAATGTTGTCCTTGTCCCCATGGAAGGGGCACTTCGTGCTACCACATACCATATGACTTGAGTACTGAACGATGTCCATAATCTCGATAAGCGGAGACTACAATGGCCTCGGCGCATCGCCCGCCCGTACAGTACCAGGTTTTTATCACACCGACATCTTGTGAGCTGAACTCTCTAAGCATCGTGCATTCGATCGAACGCGGCACTATAATGCATGCGCGCGAACTTTCTGTCGCTCTAAATTGAATGGCGTTTCCCTAGGAAATCACTCCAAGTGACACGCCCTCGGGATTATTTGGGGAATGTACGAATTTCGCATGCCTACTGCATAATAGGGCAGTAGACGGCTTGCTTAGCTGAAAATTAATTTGTGTAAAAATAATCTC